CGGACAGTCGAAACACCAATCCGTTTTTTCAATCGCTACTCGTGGTGGTGCATCTGGACCATCTTTACCAGGAGGCCCTTGACTACCATCAGGTCCGTCTGCGCCATCTGGACCTGGTGGACCCGGCGGACCTTGAGGCGAAACACCACACCCACAACAGACTTCTGCTTGGCGTTTTGCACGTTGTGCCTCGCTCGACGAAATAACCTAGAAAAAAATTTAGGTAGAGCTTTTTAAAATATATTCGATGAATTGACTTCACCAATTCCAAGGATACTTTTATAGAAGTAATGCGTATTTTGAAAATAGCAGTGACACAGCGAAGTTTCTCACCTGAGTACGTATTACTTCCTGCCAAATATTTTCTGTACGTTGTTTGCAGAAATCTATCTCATGTCGCATGTCAACATTTACTGTCTGCAAGTAGTTGCAAAAAATTGGAATTGCCAATGTACAAACAAGCGTTGCAAATGTTGACAGTGAGATGCTAAGGAAGGCTGCGCAACGGAACGTATCCTCACGTTGAGTAGTATATTTTTCGTCAGCCATCCTAAAAGTTAATCTGACTGATATTTCTCTTTTACGTTCGTCAAGCAAGCAACAGTAGCAAATTGTTAGCTTAGCAAGACACTTCGTCGAAGATACATTATGCGTACCGTTAGTATACATACGTTTGATGAATGAACGAAAGATTTTAATGAGACAGCACAGCAAAACAACAAAATTTTATTTCGTACCTAAACCTTATAGTATAAATAAAAAAAATCTTCGTTTTTTTTCTTTGAAGTAATAATGTCAGCCACAAAATAAAATCGGTTTTTTTTAGAACATTATTTTTTTAATTTATTTTTCCTGCTTCTTTATCGTTTTTCTTCTAATCTTATCAGCATCAGAAACAATAACTTTAATTTCACAATAGTTAGATAAAAGTACTTTCCAAAAAAATTTTTTCTTTTTATTTTTTAACAAAAAAAATTTCTTGATGTTAAAAATTTCATCAACAATAATTCTACTATAAATAGTATTTCTGCCAAATAAGTAAAAATCTTTTCGGAATACTTTACTGTATACGAAATAAAAGTAATTTAAAAAAAAAGAGAAGAAAATAACACTACTATTTACTGCTTCAAAAAGTTTTTTTTCTACTAATCGATAGTCATATTCTGGCTGAATAAAGTAACTGAAAACTTTACTTTTACTGTAACCGTCGAACATAAAATGTTATCTTAACGAGCAACGTTCACAGAAAAAAAAGAGTAACGAAGGGAAAAAAAACTAGAGGAGATATGATAAAGCTAAAAGAGTTGAAATGACAGCGGTTGACGACCATAAAGAATCCATGGCATCTAACAGCATCGTTTACGATACTGCGGTAACGCTGCTGCCGTTCGTAGCACTGACGACAAACCGGCCTCCACTAGGCATTCTTACTTAGTGATGCTGTCATCAGTATCAGCATTGGTGTGTGTATCAGTATCGTGTAACAGAAGCAGTAACAGCAGCAGTAACAGTAACCGTAGCAATAGCAGTAGCAATAACAATGGCAACGGCAACGGTTTCAAAATCACCGCCGGAAATCGAGACGTTTTACAAATGTAAGCCAAACAGTGCCTCACACACTTATATTTGGCGTTGCTGAATCTTGAAAAATAAAAGTTGTAATTTTTTTCAGCGTAGATGGAATGTTAGTCACCAAAAACTTGAAAATCGTCTTTGATTTTCTATTTTAAAATCTAATTTTTTTTCCACACAAAGACTTTTTTTTTCTTTTTGTAACGAATACAAATTACAGTTTTTCTTGGCACCGTAATAACTGAAACCAGTTTTTCCATTTTTACAAAAGTTAAGGAAAAGGCTCAGATCTAGCAAAGTTAGCACAAATATACACGCATACATACAAATATATCAGAAAAAGTGCTTTTTTTCTCTCCCTTTTTCTGAATATAGGCGCCATGTCAACAAGTTGCAACTTTCTTTTTTGATCAAAAAGAAGAAAAACTATTTTTGCTTTTTAACGAATAAATAAAAAGAAATTTTTTTTCCCCTTTTTTTGATAATTGTGACGACGACAACGACAACGACAACGACAACGACAACGTCGACTACAATGATGCTGATGATGATGATAATCTTAATGTGAATAGAGCTGCTGTTGTAGTGGTTGTGGTTACTCGTTCTGTTATCAAACTCCAGTTTTAGCCACATTGTAAAACTGGAGAACTGT